TGAAAGCCTTGGAAAATGTATTCAAATACCATGATGTGTTTTTATATCTACCAAAATCAGAATCATACAAGCCATGGTATACCCTGTGATACTCTATGGAAGCAAAAGATGAACTTTAAGAAGCAAGATAGGAAGAGTAATGACATTTTTAAACTTTTGTGTTGGAGATGACTCCTGGACAGCCAACAAAACAAACAGATGGATCTTCAAACAAATCAACCCTTCAAGGCACAAATTGCCAGTCTCAAATTATTCTACTTTGGACAGATTATGCTAAGGCCAGCTCTCTGGAAATGGTTGTAATGCTGGGAAAAATAAAAGAGAGGAAGAGAATGGCCAATAGCAAGATGGATAGATTCAATTTCACTGGCGATGACTACACTATTGGGAGCCTCAAAAGAACAGGTTAGGGATAGATTATCGTGGAAAAAAATCTATCCATGTGGTCAACAGGAGTTGAAAATGACTTGATCAGGACAGATCAATGTTACTGTACATTCGGTAAATGTGGCATCTATTGTAAATATTTTTGTTACAAACCGAATGAAAAAATAATATGCAAAATGGATAGGATGGAATAGAATGATGTGATGCTGCACACATGGGGGAGGTTTTTTTCAAGTAATCTTATTAAAGATTATAATTACTATAGTAAAAATGAATGCACATTAGAAAAAGATAGGAAAACAGAACAAGTAAAAGTTACAAAGGGAACAAATAAGAAATATATAAAGAATAGAAAGAAAAATAAGGATAAGAAAAAATTCTTTTCTGCCAGTTATTGGTCCTAGTGAAAGTTACCCTGAAGTCTATACTTCCCATTCTCACAGATTTTCTTCTTTTCTTTAAGAAGAAAAGTATGATAAATTATCTTTCGAAACAGGATTGTTACACAGTAGATATACTTATTTTTTGTGAACAATGCCAATAAATAGGGTATGAAAATTATTTAAATGTCTAAGATCCTATTGAAACCTTATTTCACTAATTTTTTTTTAAAATTCAAGTAGTCTGCCTTGCATTATGATATGTGATAAAGGGATAGGGTTATAATCAAAATGTTTATTGATTATCATAAATTGGTAAAACCATGTTATAACTTTGAAGCTTCAAAATACATTTTTAATTATAGCTGCTATTTTAATGTGCAGAATAAGAGTCAACAATGACGTGATGTCAAATAATCAAGTAATCAAACATACCACAATAAAGACAAAGAATCCAATCCTGCCTATATTTGGTCATCAGCTTATTGATTAGTCAACTGTAAAAAAATTAGTTTACTTTGAGCTATTCATGGCCTTACTTAAGCTTTATTATTTACAATCAGAGATCTATTTACTAGCTGTCTGAGGGCTGATTTTTTACTAAAACGTAACATTAGCCTTCCTAATATCTATCTTGCTATAAAAGCTTTTCCAGTGATCATAATAATAAATAGCTAATTAGTGCATTGCACATGTGCACTACCTAATCCTAAGTGCCATATCTTATCAAAATTGTGGGTTAATGAATCCCAAAATGCTTCTGCAGTAGAGTTTTCTACTCATTATCAAAAAAGTTACAAGTGTTAGGATCACAAGGATTAAACATGGCCTTGCCATTAAAGCTGTGATAAAATATTGATTCCACTCTGGAAAAATCCTTTATACATGAATTCTACTACATGTTCCAGAAGTTTTGGGTACTTGGTGTATTTGCTTAGTCTGCCTAATGGAATTATAGTATTCCTGTTAACAATGAAATAAATTGTTAACTACCTGAAATTGGATACCTCAAGTTAGCTAAGGCTAACTAATGTATATAGAAACTGTCTTGAAAAAAAAAATACCATTAGGTTAAACTATCTTTTGAAAATTAGTTATCTCTGCAATTCTCTGCAATTAGTGTTCATATTTTTAACATAATGGCAGCACACAAGAATGCAATACTTGTGTGGTTTGGCATAAAATAAAGTTTTACATTGTCTAACTATAACTCTGAGGAGACAGAGAGCAAATCGTAGTCCGTGTTGGATTTTAGTTTAGGATGAAAAACATGGGGGTCGTAATTTGTGATTGGCAAAGAGTAAATATCTTAATTTGGAGAATTCCACTGTATAATAAAGTATTTATTGGTATTTGCAGATAAGCTGTCCATTATTCTAAAGCTCCATACCTACAGTTTTATTTTGTAAAGATGAAAAGGTAGAAATGTATAAAGAAGGCACCGAGTATTTAAAAATGTGAATTTGGAGTAGTTTTAAATCTAGGAATTTTGGATAACTTTTTAGGAGGTATGTATGCAAGTATCTAGACCAGCAGAGCATATGTTCACAAAAGCTGCTGTGTCTGAAGAAATGAACAGAGAATAGCATCAAAGCAACTTCTATCTAAAATGTATGAAAGTAAAGAACTAAAGAACAGTCGTGTATACAAAGAATTGTGCTTCTGTTCTTGGTATTACTAATTAAATGGGTAATCCTGATCAAGAGAAAAAACAGATGGTCTAATGACTAATAGATGATAGAGACGTTTAGGTGCATTATGAAATTACTGTAATGAACTATTGCCAACAAATATTAAAAGGCCTATCTAGAAGGATAGACTAAGGAACAGATTAAGGCGCAAAATATGTTTATGTGTATATGTGCATTTACTAATTTTGATTCTTCCATTTATGCTGTTAGAACTTTTCTGTGTAAAAACAATATCATTGAAATGATTTTGCATCTTTGAAGAATGCAAATTTAGCAACAGATTTAAAGGAGGCATTACTGGTTAAATTATAGCCAAATCAGGTAATAAAACCTGCAGCTGTCTAACTGCAATAATCCCTGACTACAGTGGTACAGTGTTTAAAGATAGGATATTTCTTCATTTATAAACTATTAGAAGCAAAGTGGGGCCATAGGGTTCAGTCAAAAATAGAAGAAAACATTCTTCAGGGAGCATTTAATATTTATTAGGATGATCTTTTCTTTCTCTATCCCATCACTTATCTACAAACAAATCTTTAAAACCTCAGCATTTCAAGTCTGGTGTAAATCCCGTTTTATTTATTTATTTATTTATTTATACATCCCTTAACATTTTCTAAACACAGTCTATCTCTAAAGGTAGATTGTAGAGGAAGGAATGGCAAACACTGGGGGCAAAGTTAAAAGTGGGATCAGCCTAGATATCCACATAGCCATAAGTAAACTAAGTCAACCCCCCCCCTTGAATTCCGTTGACCCTTAACTAACTACTACCAGGTGCTAACTGTTTAAAGCTGTGGTGAATGCATGGGACATGTTCCTTGTTGACAATAAGGATGAGGATCTGAAGCAGGGCTCTCCAAATGTGGCGATTGGAAGACTTGTGGACTTCAACTCCCGGAATTCCTCAGTCAGGCGTGTTCCTTGTTAACAATAAGGATGAGGATCTGAAGCAGGGGGTCTTCAAACTTGGCTCTTTTATGACTTGTGGACTTCAACTCCCAGAATTCCTCAGCCAGGCATGCCTGGCTGAGGAATTCTGGGAGTTGGAGTCCACAAGTCATGAAAGGGCCAAGTTTGAAGACCCCTGATCTAAAGGGTCCATTTTAGAACTGTGGGATTGCAGGAAAGTTAAAAGGTATAGAACTAAGCTTAAATGGGAAATTTAGAGCTTTAGACCAGAGGTCTCTAACCTTGGAGTCCAGAAATGGTCCATGGGGAGGAATTCTGGGAATTGGAGTGCAGAAGCAACCTAGAATTAAGGAGAAACTTCCTGACAGTGAGAACAATTAACCAGTGGAACAACCTGCCTCCAGAAGCGGTGAATGCTCCAACACTGGAAGTTTTTAAGAAGAGACTAGACACCCACTTGTCTGGAGTGGTATAGGGTTTCTTGCCTGAGCAGGGGATTGGACTAGATGACCTCCAAGGTCCCTTCCAACTTTATTATTATTATTATTATTAATTCAGAATATTCCTATACCTAGGCACAAGTAGCAATGAATCCATTTAATTGGACCTTCCTATGTGGACCTTATCTTTCACACCCAAAATAGACAGTCTTAAAATTAATTTTTGGGTCAGTTGTTCAAAAATATCCTTCAACATATCCAATATTATGCTTCGTTCTACATTAGTACTGTAAGTCACATTTAAGAGCTCCTCTCCTTTAATTGTAATTTTTAGCTCTTTCTGATTCCCTCTAGTGTCCACTTTCAAAGTCTCATCCTATCATTTTTTTAAAAAGAGAATTTAAAACAAAAGAATTTTCTTGTGGGAAGGATACTTAAAACTAATTCCAAAATCTTATTTAAAATTATTTTGCTAAGATTTGAAGGAAATCTTCCAAGTGGTGTAAAACTTGTCAGTCCAAAGGTTTCTGCTAGCTGAAAAGCAGTTAAAAAACCATTTCCAAAAGTGATATAAAAAGGAAGTATATTTGTCCAGTGTCCTTTCAAAGATCCTGACTACGGTTTGAGTAAGGTGACTATTCCCTAGTCTCCCAGAGCTCTAAACCTATTTTGCAACCTCTTTGTGAGGAGCAACTATAAGGAGCATTTGTGGGTGATCCTGGGTCCTTTCCTTGTTTGAAGAGGACATACGAAGAGCAGGTCTTAACTGGGTCTTCATTTTGTTTGAGTTATCCATTTTGGGCAGAATTATCTTCAGTTCACCATTTCTTCCCGGAAGTTTTTGACTTGGGGAAAAAATATTCTGTAGTAAACTGTTTTTGAAATCACTTCAGCCTATGATTAATACTAAAAAAGAAACGGAAGAAATGTGCTAAAAGGGAAGATGAGAAAGATTGCAAACCTCCAGTTATTTTCTAATTCATCAGATGACTTGAACCTTGGAATTTAATCAGAACTCCAGATTCATCAATTCATAAATTTGTATCTATACATATGCCTATATATCTATTAATTATATGATTTGTGCATCTATCCAAGAAAAACAAAACAAAAACATATGAACAGATTATGCTTTTGAAACAATCACTATAGGTACGTTAATGTTAATTGACTATTTTTTGCTCTTCCAGAATCGAATGGAGGAAAGCAAAGCACTATTTAGGACAATTATCACATATCCCTGGTTCCAGAATTCTTCAGTCATTCTATTCTTAAATAAGAAAGACCTTTTAGAGGAGAAAATAATGTATTCACATCTAGTTGACTATTTCCCGGAGTATGATGGTAAGTTTGTTTGTTTTTAATAAGACATTGTGTGCAAGTAGTATAACAGCATTAAGACAACATTATAGAGTTGATAAGTGAGAACAAGCTTGCCTTTTGTAGTTCTATTATTATGGCCACCATTCCCAAACTTCTAATTAAATGGTGCATTCTTAACTACATGTTCAGAGCGTCAGTTGTTATTTGTTAACTAGAAAAACAGCCCTTGAACATACCATGGTTTGTTTTCTTCAGTTCATCTGAATAAGATTTGAGGAGGAAGAAATTTATCCATGTGACTGGAGGATGTTTTGTTTATTAAACTGTCTGGTTGTGCATGTATACATAACTGGAGTGATGGAGTTTACCATATTTTTCATTCTTCTTAATCTCATAGGATTAACAGAATAGGATAAGTCAAATTCAGAGGCAGTGCAGGGAGACTTGCATGTCTTACTAAAAGGATGTGTTTGTTAAATTGATAATTATACATTCTATGCCTTGTACCTCTACTTATTGAGAAGTGGAGAGAGAGCGCACCTGCTGAAAAACGTACCAGCAATTGAAGCAAAGAGAAGGGTTTTCCCCTTCACTTTTCCCGCCACCTTTGAAAGCTGACATGTTTCTTTCCCAATGGCTATATTGCCTGGAATCTCCCAGTGACAGTCACTCTAATCTTGTTTTAAAATGAAGCCCCTGTCTTCTTTCTCAATCATTTCTCCCTCTATATTCTTTCTATTTGTTTAAAGTATACCAGTATAGTAGCTCCCATCCTAATGTACTGTGAAATTCTTGCCTTTGGCTTGTTTTTAACCATCTTTAGTTTAAAAGGTTAAATGTCAATTCTCCAAGTTACCATGATTGTTGAGTAAAATGTTGGGATGTATCATTTTTCAGTCCACAACTTCTCTTCCATCCTTCAATATTCAGTCCTCATTTCTTGCTTAGATATCACCACAGTGTAATAATAGCCATTTACAGGTATTCCTTGATTTTACGAGCAGAGTGAGCTAAAAAATTCTGTTGCTAAGCAAGACAGTTTTAAGTGAGATTTCCCCCCATTTTATAACCTTTCTTGCCATAATTGTTAAGGGAATCACTGCAGTCATTAAGTGAGTCTGGCTTCCCCATTGACTTTGCTTGTCAGAATGTTGCAAAAGGTGATCACATGACCCTGGGTCAATGCAGCCGTCATGCATACAAGCCAATTGCCAAGCGTCCAAATTTTGATCACATGACCATGGGTTACTACAATGTCATAAATTGAAAAATGGTCATGTCATTTTTTTAAATGCTGTCATGGATTCAAGTGGTCACTAACCGAATAGTTGTAAGTCAAGGACTACCTCTATTTTTTCGAAGATAAATTCAATATACTTCTTTTCTGGTGTAACAGGACCTCAGCGAGATGCACAGGCAGCAAGAGAATTTATCTTGAAGATGTTTGTTGACCTGAATCCTGAGAGTGAAAAAATTATCTACTCCCATTTCACGTGTGCCACAGACACAGAGAATATCCGCTTTGTCTTTGCTGCCGTCAAGGACACTATCTTACAATTAAACCTGAAGGAGTACAACTTGGTCTAACTGTGCCTCTTAGATCTCTACCCACCCACTTTGGGCAATTGAAGATATTCAAGAGGGACTGTATTATCTGTGAAAACGATCTGCGTAATACTAATTTATTGCTGGCCTGGACTCTGTTAATATTTGCAGAGTTTGTAGTAAATATTACAATTTTATTTAAACTTTACAGAGGAAAAGAAACAAAAGATGCTGAACTACATTCACAGCTCATTTCCTCTTTTTTAAGTCAAAATTTTGTGACTTAATGTGTTCTAAATTCTCAGTTGTGCACTCACAAAATGATAGGGGTTTGGGTTGATTTTTTTGTTGTTGTTGTGACTGAAGCAAAATCAAGTTGGGCTCTCCTATTGTCTCTGCCTGTGTCTGTCTTGATTTACCTTTTTCAGGTACAATACCTATCCCCACAAATTTCATTTTCAGGTTTCCTTTTTAGATTGGGGGGAGGAACCCGTCACTAGAATTTAAGCCATAGGAAACTGCTTTTATGAGGGATCAAATCTATTGGTGTTCTGGTTTTGTTTAACTTTTGGCAGATGTAAAGTATACCTACCTTTTGGTATCATCTTTGCACTGAAGGAATGTTGTTCATTGGGAGTATTATAGATTTTTATCCATAACAGTACCATAGAAATTAAACAAACTACATAGAACACAGCAACAAATTACTGAGAAAGGACATTTTTGAAGCAGATTAGCTTTTTGATCTATTTACTCTCTTCCAAAACCAACCTTTAAAAAAGATCTCCCCCCTCCCCCCCCTTTTTTTTTTTTCTTCTTAATCACAAATGCCAAATATATACCTTGGAAATACTATGGTCTGGAATGACTGTTTTTTTAAATTAAGCAGACTATCTAGATTTCTCATCCCAGTTTCAGATTTTTAAAAATTGTGCAGAAAGTATTGGCCAGATTTGGCTCTTCTTATAAACAGTGACTGCAAAATATAAGATGGTGATTTGAGATGCCAAGTTAACTGATTGAGAATCTCTTCCAGACAACTGCCAAATATTAAAACAAAGAGATTTTAGCTTTTTTGTTTCCTCTTTGTACTAAAAAGCATTCCATTTCTCAACGCCAACCTTTCCCCCATAACATTATAAGTAAAAAATGGTGCTACATACATATGCATATGGCTAAATTCAAAAACAGTTTTAATACTGTATTTATAAAGTGCTATAAGATTGGACACTGTTCTTATTTTCTTTTCTTTAGTAAGGCACTTTTAATGGAAAAAAAACAAAATAGCTGAGAGAGAGAGAGAGAGAGAGGGAGAGAGAGAGAGAGAGAATGTACATATAAAGCTATATTTGTGTGTGAAATGACAAAATGGAAGGCTAAACTATATATAACTGAGAAAAAGTCCAGTGGATTCAGAAGAACGGCTTCTGAGTAAATATATCAGTTTTAATAATAGAATGGGGGGGGATCCACTATACCTGTTTTGATGGACATTCTCTCTCTGCCTCTTTTCTCTCTCTCTCTCTCCTTTGGATGAAATCAGATTTTTAAAATTTTGTGTAAAACAACTCTGTAAATAAAAATTGTCAGTTTGGAAAATTGTACACATGAGGTAGAAAAGTCAGATACGAAATTCGACTAATTTTTCTAAAAGGTGATTTTGCAGTTGTAGGATTAAAATAAATTATCTGCATTACATTTTGGGACACAGAGGAGACAACGAATGCGATAAATTACAACTAAACCTCAAGTGTAGGAGCAATCTGCCAAGCATTAGTATTATTGGCACAAGGGCCAGATTCCCAGTGTAACATTCTTAAAATAATGCTTCATGGATAATCTACAACATATTACTAATAAAATTTCTATTGACCCTTAATTCTTTATATTAAAATTGATTAAAACTTGGATTGCTTTTGTTCCCTAATCATGAAATCTTGTAATTTTAAAAAAGTAGGCCTAGTGCAATTATGAATGCTATAATCCTTGTGAGATATGTATACGTATATGTATATGTATCTCACAGCATCCATACAGGCTTTGTAATCATTTTGGGCAGATTAAATGTGCTGTATTGATATGTATCTATGTAATTGTAATGTATGTCTTACAGATAATTCACAATTTAAATAATGTTATTTTATTTACTTTTTTAACAGAGAAGAATGTACATTTTGTCAGTTTATTTCTGACTAGGTTTGTTTTTAATTTTTATTTACAAACAATTATTATAGTTCAGAGTGGTACTAGAATTATGCAGTATAAAATCATTTGCACTGCCCTGAGAAAAATTGGAGTGGACATTCACATGCACATGCATACACAGAGGAATTTAAGCTCTTTTTTGTCTGATTACATTGTTCTTTGGCAAATGAAAAGGTTAGTTTGCATCCCCAGTCTTTTCATGGTAAAAATGGTTTATTTTTTGTTTTGGTTTATTTTTTACCACAATGAGGATTCTCTGTGGCCACATGATATTGAAAGCATTTATCAGCTATCAAGAGTCACTGAGCTAGCAACTCTGCAATTAGTTAAGCTTGTCTGCTTTGATAAGGAAATAGGAGCATATGTTGAAAACTATCATCATCACAAAAAGGGATGATAGTAACAACTTTGCAATAAATTTCCAGGTGCAACAACAGTATCATGAAAAATCACTTTGGGTTGGAAGCATTCTTAAATATAGGGTGCACATTTCAACATGTATTACATTTTTTTGTATTTGTACTTCCAACACCCAGTGGAAATTGGAAACATACAATTGCTTCATGCCACCAGGGGAATTCATTTTTGCAATAGGAATTCATAGGAATTCATTTTTGCAATAGTTATCACCTGTTACCCTCTCCAGTTTGGGTCAGCTGTCACTTCTTCATTTATGTCATATTTCAAATTTTAGTTCAAACTAACATTTGAAAAAAATGTATTTTTCTTTAAATGTGACATTGTTGCAGCTGATACCTTTATAAATATTTCATGTTGGAATGTCAAAATTAACTCTAAAATTGGCACTGTAGGAGAAAAATGACACATAAGTCTTTTCTTACAGCATTAAGGATTTTTCCTGATTTTGATGCAAATGAAGGATATCCTACAAAGGAATTATTGTTTATTTAACCTTTGAGCTTTTAAGAATGGAACTTGAGGTTTTATATATAAATGGCATTACCAATTTTACAGGATCCTTCAGCTAGGAAGACTGCCATTATAGGAGCTGAATCTCCGCGTAGCATTTGAAATGGCAAACCCCTCACTCAGTTTACAAAGCTTTCCTCCCAGTTCTGAATGGAGACAAGGAAGAAGTGATAGCAAGCAAATAACAAAATGATCAGAAAGTAGTTAGTAGCCTCGGCTTATCTTTCTCATCACAATTGACCTTGTGAAAGCGACTTTGTATCTGATGCCCAGGATCTCAGCCAGTTCTTCAGTGAGGCCTGCACGTGAAAGCAGTGTATACTTGGAAAAGAATTCAGAAAAAGTGCTTTGAGCTTCTTGTAAGGCCTGCTATTTCTTAAAGAAGCTGCCATTTTTCAGGCTTCTTTGCGGGCCTGCAAAAAAAATCATGTCTGTCGGAAGAAATCCATGCATTAAAGTTAATGAGACACTTAAAGCAGATGAAATTTTTCTTCAGCTTCACTCAAGCATGAAGAAGTAGAAAGGTGCTGTGGGGCTTGTGATTGAGGTCAGAAAAAGTCAGAGCCCAGGCCTACCAAACATTTTTTTCTTCAATGGAAGTGGTAACTGAGTCCCATATCTGGTGTATGACAATATCTCTTCTCTTAAAATGGGAAGAAGCAAACCTTTTCACTTCAAGTGGATTTTTTTCTTCTATTTTTTTTTTTTAAAAATAGGTTGAAGGAAGGAAAGAACAGAAGAGGTTAAATATGCTGTGGGATGTGGAATTGTTCTTTATTATGGATCTTTGGAAGAATTTTGGAAGCATCAGAAGAAGGGAGAATCAAAAACTATGAAGTGACAACCTCAACTGAGGCCATCATCTGGAAAGACCTCTGTAATTTTAAATTTCCATAATAAAGAATTTAAACATGACATTTTTTTCTTAGCTATAGTATAGATAAATTACATTTTTGTGGGAATATTCTGAATTTGAAGGAAAACTTTGCCAAGGCAACCTAACTTTGAATTGCAATAGCTACCTTGCTTTATGCCAGAGATCAAAATGCAACATAGATTTTTAAAGTGGTACTCCTTATCCCATTTAAGATTTATTATCTGAAGATTAAGGTGAGGATAGTTACGGGTGTGGTTTTGGTATATGCCTTAACAGATTTTGAGCCCAGATATCAGTGCCTCCCAAGTTATCCAAAGTAAACTTAAGATGATTTGTAACTTTGCCAAAACAATGTAACACTGCAAATCAGTTTCTTGGAAAGCTGTGTCTTAATAATTATTAGGATCCCAGCCAACCTGAAATTTGTTTTTACGTCTATTTTATATTTAATGGAAGTTGTGCAACAGTGTTTCCCATTCAATTCAATGGGGCTTGTCCAAGAAAGCTGATGAATCATATCCATGCATAGAAATGATCTTACCAGAGAAAATACTCACAGCTTCTCTTTTTCTAAATCTCTTGATATCTCCCATCCTCAGTCCAGACATACAAAAAATGAATAAATGACAAAAAGCTTTTCCTTTTTTATTCAAAAGTATTCCCATTGTGAAGATTATCTGAACCAGATCCATTTTAATTGTACCATGGCAGGATTTTTGTTTTCCAGGTTTTAAAGGGAACAGACTTTTTATGTGATGTATCAGTCAAGAATGACTGCATGATTTGCCCCCCCCCCCGAAAAAACCCCAGAAAAGAAATGATAGGGGGAAATGTCTGCATATTAAAGAGACCGCTGGGCTTTACCACAGCTTTTGGTTGTGAGCTCCAAATTGCTTTTGACGTACAGGTTGACTTCTCCCATTTGTTTTGGAATTTTCACAAAAAAAAATTAAATGATTAAAAGAATTTTAATAAGTGTTAAAACACAACAAAAATAAAATGTACACCGGGTGTAAATATGTGCTCCTCTTCTTGAATTTTTTTTGTATTTCAAAACAAAACATTTTACTGAGGAAAGCATCCTTTCACGCCTGCAGCAATAGTACCTTCATTTCACAAGTGGTGAGAACATCCAAATCCACATTCAAGGATCTCTGCAGGTGGGGTTAAAAAAAAAATCAAGGTTATGGCCACAACCATATGATGGAATCCCACTTCTTTTTTATGTGGAATGGCTGTGACTGCTATCATTACATTTTTACCTCTTCCTAAAGCCCTATTTTAGGGGAAACTAACATGGCTTTGGAGTTCCCTCACATTGCTGACCTCAAATTCTGGAAAATATTGCAAAAGGCTAATTCCTGTTATTTAGGCAGATTCCTGGCTTTTGTAAATAGCTTTTTAGCCCACATGCCTCATATACATACATCATAGTCGATATTAAATGTATATTTTTGTTATATAGCCTTATTTTAATTTGGAAACTCATTTGCACATCATTATAGCCCCTAATCTGGAGTTTTGTGTTCGCTATTTGGGCCTTTTAAGTGAATGAGACATTATTCACTTAAAGATACAGTGTTAATAAATATTTCTGCTTTGATCTCTCTATTGAATTGAATTGTCCAGGAATAATTCACAATAACTCATTTACACATTGCAAGGCATGCTTCATCAGCAGTACTTTTCCATTTTATTCTAGTATATTGGAAAACATTTTAACTGTGATTAAATAGCATTTAAAACATGGATAATCCCCGTAATTGTTATTATGCCTATATTCTTGCAAATGGGTCACTTTCCTTGTATTTCCTTCAAAGTAAACCTTGAATGCAGTTAACTACAATTTTATAGACAATACTTATGTTTGAACAAGTACTTTGGAAATGAAATGGGAGCTAGTAAGTTTAATCAGAAAGACTTGATACAAGATTTAAAAAGTGCCAGGTAGCAGAAGGATTCAGCCATGTGTCCTTCCTTCAACATACTTGTAAAATTCAATTTGTTAGTGATTTCTTTATAACAATATCTTGAAAGCTCGCCTTATAGAACCTACATGTTGACCAGATGGGACTCTTGTACTTTTAACTCAGCAGTATTTTATTACTTACGCTTGTTCTTAATATCCTTCAAATGCATGTATCATCTATGGTTTGAGACTGAACATTTTTGACATCAGCTACTGTATAACAATACCCAAATGACTGCACTAGTTATGATTACAGCATTTTGGCCATACTTTTGTACTCCGGCATCTTTCTTCCTCTACATTTGCATCTCTTAAAGTACTTTTGGCTCATTGTTATCTTTAAATGCTCTTTTATAATTATAGGAATAAATACTTTTATTCCCATGATTGTTTCAAAGTGCAATACTGTATCCTAACCAGGCATGCTAAAAAGCTACATATCCTAAATATATTTGAAAAAGGTAATATGTTCGCCCACTCCCCCATATTGGATGGTATAAACATCTTTAATATAGATTCATTATCAAGATATATTAATACCCCTTCATATACATATGTAAATAACTCAGTGAGAAGTTCATACTATGTGTATCACTTTATATTAACCAAAAAAACTTAAGGACTGAACAGACCCCCACTAAAGAATATATAACTATATAAAACTTAATAGATTTTTTTCCTTTCTGGAGACATACAACATGAATTCATACTGTACACCTGTTGGCTTTTGGTTTTGAAATTACAACTACTTATTTAAATGAATGGTAAGAATATTCCTAATCCAATTTAAAATAATGTTCAGAAGGCAGAACAACCTTAAATATCAAATAGCAATCAGATGCGTATACTTCATAGTGAGCAGTCTAACATTGAGTTCTACTTTAATCTCTAGAACACACTTAAATTTTTGCTAGGTGGTGAGAACTGCGTTGAGTGTAAGTTGTTCACAGTACTTATAGAATGGGAATTTCTAAATTCATAAGAAAAGCTAACTGGATAACTTTACAGATGATCAATCTGTAAAAAGGTAAAGGTAAAAGTTTCCCTTGCAGTTATGTCTGACGCTGGGGCATGATGCTCATCTCCATCTCTTGGCCAAGGGAGCCAGCATTGTCGAAGACAATTTCCATGGTCATGTGGCCAGCATGGCTATATCCAAAGGTGCATGGAATGCTTTTACCTTCCCACCAAAGTGATACCTATTTATCTACTTGCATTCACATGCTTTCAAACTGCTAGGTGAGCAGGAGCTGAAGCAAGTAATGGGAGCTCACCCCTTTGCACAGAGCTTGGGTCTCAAACCGAGGCTGTCAGCTCTCCAACTGACAAGTTTAGTGTCTTTAACCGCTGAACCATCGTGCCCCTCTTGATCAATCTGTAATTAACATTTTATTTGAGTTAATATTGTTTACGTGTTTAAAAAAATGGATTTGTACATCAAACTGTCTGGTCCTTAAAATAAAATCTAGTAAGTAGAAGCAAATTATGATTATGTTTGGTCAATGATGACCAGTAAAATTTAGAATGATTGTTTCAGCCAAGAAAAAGGCTATATATTACTCTCTATGGTATAATCCCTTCTTTGTGTCTATATAGGATGGTAATAATAGAAGTCTAAGTATTGTAGTAGGAAATGTAATAGTAAGTTGTAGTTGTTAGTTCATAATGCTTATCCACGAAGTACAAATGGTTAAGCATATGAGCACACTATTAGTAATTAAAATCAACCAGTTTTCTTATCGTATGTTTCACCTTGACATTATTAATAATTTACTGTACTGATCTCCCCAAATATCCTAATTTGGTAGGTGTTTACTGCTAGCATGATAACTTGATTTTTGACCAAACTATTTTTTTGTCTGCAGCCTGCTGTAATAGAGGTTGATAGGAAATGGTCTTGCATCAGACCGCTTGGCCTGTTTTCTTTAAGCTTGAGCTATTATACAACGATTTGAGATATTCTGCTGTTCTCTCCTCCAGGCATGAGAAAGAGAGATGAGTCAGGCAGGTGAAGTCAAGAATAGATAGGCTGATTAGGTAAAAGAGTAATCTAATCAAGTCAACATTGAAATGCAACAAAGGTGTTTTAGTGAAAACCATGATCAAAGTTGAGATTCACGAAATCCAAGAGTAAGAATTATTGGCACACAACTCAATTATTTGCAAAAGTATTTGTTTCTTTTGTGACAACTCTTTCCCAATTGATCCCAGGACCCAGCCAGCATTCATTTCTAGACTGGTGGTAATTCCCAAGGAACCTGGTTATATAAACAGCATTCCTGTATCATTCAATTAGCCATCTTTTTCTGTCACGTTCCAAGACATCTTAGGCATCAGAACCTGAGTGTTGATTCAAGACTGTGATCCATAAAGTTCCTAAATGTGGAAAAGGCAGGTAAGATCAAATTCCTGTCCAGGGGTAGGACTGAATCCTTGAGTAAGGAAGATCTATGGGCTCAATTACTGTGGTTTCCATCATCACTTCTTCCTCTTCTGATCTTAAACTGGCAGTAACATACAGTAGTGGTTTCCCAGATAATTTACCTTGAAAATAGGAAAGTGTTAATGTTCTGAGAATGTGGTAAAGGATGCAGTCTAAACTGATCATTTTCTGGGGAACAAATCTTAAATTTAGGGACATTTTCATCTGCAACATCTTTAATTCACTGGAGAGCCTTAATTTAGTTCAGACTGTGGTTAATAATAGAGCCACATAAGAAGTGGCTGGAATGTTTGTGTCGGGAATTTTACAGAGAGATCAAATCATATTTTGCCCTCCTTCCTATATGTTTTTTTACATTTCTCTTTTTCTCACAACAAAAAAGGGGAAGATAAATAGTGTCACAATATTTTAATACGGTAGGTACTAATAGAAATCTTCTATGTGGCTACTGCTGAGACAACACTCTCACAATTATGGCTTTGAAGGCATTCTGATAAAAGCAGGTAACATGCTGATGTCCATTTTCTCATAGTTGTAAGTGCCAGAACATCTTGCACCTGCACAGGCAGCATGTCACATAGGCTGCAAATCATTGTCTGACATCCATGTTAACATTTATTTAATAAGATATCTGGGTTTGGGGAGTAAATGCTTGGAGGTCTGATTCCACTTCTCACAAAGTCCTTTAGATTTTCACAACCTTCCCTGCCTTCTGCTTTTGATCAAGCAGCTGGATAATTCCAGCTGCCATCTCTTATCTTCTATGACTTGCTTTGATGCCTTACTGGAATTCTTCCTCCAACCTTGAAGGATATAGGGCTGTCATAAATTGTCCTAGCCTTCTGATGTTTATAAGGTCAATGTGATGCAACTTGCTGCCCATATGGCTTATATGCATGTGTCTACAGGTTTCAGTCCTTCCTTTCTTTCTTGTCAAATAGATGATTTTCACCAGAGGCAAAATAAACTCTTCTTTAAGAAAAAAAAAATCTAAAATCTGAAATGCAAACATTTAGTACAGTAGTTATGGAAATCAGTTGTGGAGGCGTTCAGATTAGCTGCTTGTTTTTAAAAAATAAAATTTATGGAAGAAGATGGAAGACTCCCGACAGACCACACAAAGCCACTCATGTGCTACAAATGAGTTTCTGCCAGGATGTACAGATGTTGGAGAAAGCTTTAGATAAGATTCTAAGAAGTTATTGCCTTGTGTACAATCTAAGGATACAGATGAAATGCTAAAGTTAGTGTGCAAAGAATTGTTAAATAAAAACTTCAACACAGCACAATAAAACAAAGATCAGACTGAAGACTATAGTCATGTTATTTGTCTGTTCTTTTTGCCTCAGTTATTCCTCATCTTTTTTCTTTCTCTGAATTGTAATAAATTGAGAGATGCTAACCTCAGATTTTTTTCTCAGCTTCAATCTATAGTGTCTGCCTTTATTTGGAAGAAATCCACATGTTCTTATCTTAGCAAAGAGCTTGGGTTCAAAGACACTTGCCTCTATGTATGATCTAAAGCCACACCTCGGCCATCATAAATGTTGATTGACTGTCTAGGATGGGACTGACAATGCAGCATTGTGAATGCAACATTGTTCTACAGTAGAATAGGTGCTTCTCTTGTTCTCAATAATTACTGTATTCCTTTAAAAAAAATCCTGCTGCACCATGAACATCTGACTAGAACAGTGGTTCTCAACCTTTTTAATGCTGCGACCCCCAACCGGTCATAAGTAGAGGACTATTCAACCGGTCGTAAGTCGAGGACTACTCAACTGGTGCAGCACCGTTTGCAGAATGGACTTTTGGCGGGCTCAGCAGGGCAGAGACAGCCTGGACAATTCCTACTGGCTTTTGAAAGCCAATAGAATTAGACTCTATTCAAGAGAGTCTATTCTATTGGCTTTCAAAAGCCAATAGAATAAAAGGGAGTAGCACAGCTAAAGAAAAGGGGGGGAAAATGGCGGACTGCGTTGTTTGGCGACCCCCGTGAAATGGTCGTTCGACCCCAAATGGGGTCCCAACCCACAGGTTGAGAACCACTGGACTAGAAGATCTGATTCTTGACAGCTTTCATAAATATATCTGGGATATTTTCTTCTGATTAGCTAGATGGATAAAAAGAGCTAGAGGCCACTCCACTCTTTCTCCATAGTGGCTGTGTTGTTTTCCATTATACAGAGGCCACTTAAGACAATCCAGTCATTTCATGCTGTCATCTTCCCCAGTATCCACTTTTTTCCATGCTACCACAAAATTAAGACAGAAATGAGGACATATTAGAACTAAACATATTTTAAGTGGCCCATGCAATTTGATCCTGATACCATACACATTTTAAAAATTTGATTCTCTTGAGCTGCTGCTACTATTTTGCTAGAGCAGTAGAGCGGACTTCCTTAGCTGATTAGAGGAGTCTTCTCTCATTAGCAGTGTTGCAAGAAATACAAGAACCAAAAATATTGGGGGAAAATGGCCAACCAGAACCTTCCTAAAATAAAACTAAAGGTTCTGACCAATGGCTAAACCTTCATTTGAATCATCTGTTAAGACCTGGCTCTTGTCCAGCAGTCTATGATAGAGACTAATTGCTCAATGGATCACTGTCTCCTTAATCTCTTAACTTCTCTAGTTCTACCAAAATGGTTCTCCACAGGCATTTCCTTGTCTTTTCTTCCTCCGAACCTTAAGAACAACTCTTTGTGGTTAAGACCAAATAAACACAAAACTGGAAAATCTAGAAACGAAATGCAGCATCAGCTGATGGATACCTAGGTTCCATTTTTATCATACTTGAACAAAATGCCCTTGTATTGTGATTACCTTGGAATAATTGTGTTGGCTTGTTGTTATTTTAATTGGTGAGTTTCAATCTTTTGTACAGGAAAGGGCACGCTCAGCTCTTGTTTTATTGATACATTTCCTCGTTATATTA